CAATTTTTACTTTCACTAACCTTTGGTACGAGCAGACAATTCACTTTTTTATCAGGCGATGGATCGTTCTCAAATTCGTACATAAGCGAGTAATGAGTCCACGTCCTGTTGTGGACTGAAACAAAAAAAAACACCATGATACCAAATAAGAAGCTATGTTTGGTTTTCGCCCCTTACTGTAAGATCTGGACAATAATGAAGACCATTATTCAACAAAAGTCCATTTAAAGCAGAGAAAAAGGGACCAAATCTGTAAAAATATAGCTCATTTGCAGCATCTTTGTACTTTTTAGTGTCTGACGTGTATTCAAAAGAAAGTGTCTCAATTTCATGACAAGTGTTACCTTCAAAAAGAAATTCCGATATAGGCTCCCAAATGATGTTGTAACCATAAGTATCCGACGAAATTGTGCGGAATTCAACCTTCATCTTCTCTGGCAAACAAGGAGAAGGAGCTGTAGGATCCTTCAGACCGCGACACGCTGAAAGAAAATGAAATGTTAATAACGAAACGCTGCAGTGAGTTTCCCGTAATTTCCACGATATTTGCGTAATGTTGTTGTCACATAGCTCTCGCGCTTGTCCTACGTTATTTATTTCAACCCATCATTGCCATATTTACATGTGCGCGGCCGTACATAGCTAACATGGCGAAGGGAGTTGCAGTTGCGGTTGCATGGCGAGTTGAAGTTCCAGTCAAGTTTAGCAGCGACTTCCTTTGGCTAAACGTTTCGATAGTCAATGAAAGCTAGAGAAAGCGAAGAAGGATTGTTCTTTCCACTTGGAATTGACTTCTTAGCCAGCAAGCCGAAAAAAAAGAAGAGCACAGGTAACGAACATTGATATAGATGATCACAAACAAAGCCTGTTTTTATGAAGAAGGCATCAATGTTACCTTTTAAAAGAAACTAGACTTGCTCTTTATTGCACTTCGAGCAACTTCTAACCTTCCCTCCTGCTCTCCGGCCTTTTAGCGTACATCCGCAACTCGATATACGCATAACAAAAAGCACAGACCGATCCTTTGTTGATATATATTGAAAGCACCATCTGAATAGTTGAACAAACCTTATTTTCACTATCTCTTATGAGCGACAGGGCGTCGCTGAGTGGTGCCAATACACGCATTTGATCCATTTGAATTAATTAGAAAGCAACCCAGCGTCCCTCGCGAAGAGACCATGAAGTTACGCCTAACGAGTACAAGCTGACAAACTTCTCGGCTAAAAAATTTCGTTCGATTGTTAACTAAATACGCACAAATGGTGCTAATTGATTAAAAAAAAAGGTTAAAATTTTTTTTTTTTTTTGGTAACAGCACTTATGAATAGCTTCTAAACACATCGCTTACTTTCATATTGCAGGGAAGAACGTCGTTCTCTTCCTTTGGATCGTGCAAGGACCTCATTATCTAAGAAAAGGACAATGTCAAAAGACAAAAAAAACGTTAGTTACTGGATTCTGATTACATCTATTGATCCACACCGCGATCATCCAATACGTTAAATGCAACATGATGTTATCAGATGAAACTTGTTCAATGAAAAAACAAAACAAAAAAAAAAAACTAACTAGCATCACCGAATCGATCCACGAAAGACATTTAAACCTTTTACCTTTGACATCCCTTTGCTGCTTGCAATGCTGGATACACTTTTTAAATGCAATATTCTACAAGAAAGGTGCATTTGTGTCAGAAACTAGCCACTCAATGTCTCTTTAAAAATTCAATTGGACAAATGTGCAACTGTTAACTTATCAGTTAGATGACCTTACACCATCGGAAACATTCTTTGATTTTTTTCCCTCCCTGTCGAAAAGATGATTCAAGACGATCAAAGATAGCTAAGAAAAAGGAGATCACGAATCTATATTGAAAATAAGAAAAAAATTTTATTTCAACTTAAATGAATCTCTTCATAAAAGCATAATTAATCATAAAAACATCTTGGACTTAGTAACATAGATCTCAGATGTGCTTTTAATTTTACATTACCTAGAATATAAAAGGCGTCTATTATCATACTCTTCCAGACTATTACCACTCAACCAAGAGAAGCTTATAATTGAGCGCCACGTGCAATTTAACGACACGTGTCGAAGCCGACATCGTCACGCCACGCACAGCCAATATGCCTGTTGACTGCCTAGTGTCATTTTATCTTCAGGGTTATCTGAACACAACAGGCTGAAAAATGTTACACTCTGCATAGTATTTTGTTATAAAAATATATAAGCCACAGGACGCACAAGTGTGTTGACCGAGTCCATGCCCTTTCCTGTTTGTGCGTTTGTGTTAACATAATGTGTTTTTTTTTTCTATGGATACCCTGGTAACGCCAACACGTGCAATTAAAAAAGTGTAAACGACTTATTGAATGGGACGACACATGAAATGGCGATAATATAACGGAATTGAATTTTGATTTTTGTCCACTATTGAAAAGACGCTACGTGCTCCAGACACGTTGGAGCTTTGACGCGAAAACGGGCAAAAAAAATATGAAAACAAGTATACATTGACACTACATGGGGTCAACGAAAAAAATCAAAATGTGAAATTTCCCTAACAACTTCTTCCACAGGGAGTCTCTCCTTTCAAAGAAGAAAATCAAATGGCGAAAATTTTACTGTAAACACGATTAAAAAAAATCAGTTGAGATTTAGTAAATTAGCTTAAACCTACTGGAAATTGGTGTAAAAAAATGAGAAAGCTGGTAGCCGCAGTTTTCGCTGAGACGTGATTCACGAAACGTTTTTATGAGGGGTTTTAAAATATTGATTGATGATGCATTAGAGCTAGGCTGTTCATCAAACTCCCGGCGTCGAGTAAAGTAATCCAATGGCCCCACAAAGTTTATTTGGGCATGAAATTCCCAACCATATATTGAAAAGTTTAATTTCTGTACTTACCCCTCGATTCTCCTGGTCTTGTATGATCGACCTGCATCGTCGACAGCAGACTGTGTCAGTTGACAAAGTCGCTGCTCTTAAAGTACTCGATTTCAATTCTTCACGAAGACACAAACTATCTAGGTTTGTTTCTGCGTGTTCAGTCCCAATCAAGTTAAATGCAACGAGTAAACTGATCAACCGGCAACAAGAGAGAATCATTGTCAAAGCAGTTCATAGAATCTCCAAGACAAGAATACCGAAACTGATTAAAATATTACTCTTCCTTTCAGCCCTCCGCTAGAGCAATACCGGATGGGCAAGTCTGCATCAGTCACGTGTTCATAACATTCAACTAGAATTGAAAGACATCGATGAACTTTGGCCTCTAGTCACTCAGGTGGATAATTTTCCTCTCAGTGATTGCTTCCTTTGTCAACAAGGGTACATTTAGAGCATAAATATTCAAAAAATTATGTCGTATCTACTGGTAACTCCAAATCGCTCCAACTTTGTAGCTCGCTGGTGTGAGTTTCTCTGTTGCAGTTTCGCTCCAAATGACTTGATTGAAGTTAAACTAGCTAGTCATGCAGTCGTATGAGATTTTCTGGTCACGCATTTAAAGCATTGCATATAAAGCAAAACTACAGAGTTCCTTGACGAGTGCGGGCTGCCATGGTCAGGCTTAATAAACGCGGTTAATGTTTTCTAATAGCTGTTCCACATCCAGTTCTTTCCTTTTCATACAATATATAATGGAAGTTTGACCTCATGCGAGTCAGATGCGAGTCAGAAGTGAGTCGTCACACAGAGATTTCCAATGTCGTCAGTTGGCCACCAAAAATTACAGCGTTCTTATCGACCAGCGTACATGGCCGAAACACAAAGGGTGGGGATCTTGATAGTCACGAGTTGTGTGGCTTGGAATGCCTCCCAGTTCCAGCCTTTTGACACGTTCCAGATCTAGAAGCCAACCCACAAGTGCAATGAAGGAAACTAAATTCTTTTGTAAACGACGAAGAGAAGGGTGGCCTCAGAGGAGACGGAAAAGGCTACCTCATAGGCTTACGATCAACTGATCGTTATATTGCCTGAAGGATGGCACATGATATCAGATGGACCCAGATGACCCAGATGATGACAAGACAGATAGAAATGCCGGAAATGAAATGCCGAAAAGGAAATGCCGAAAGAGGACAGGAAGTATGAAGCAGTTTTTTTGTGTTTTTTAACAGCGTTCCTAGGCGTTTCGACAAGGACTATGGCCGTCTTAATCCTTTACACCATAAAATCAGTGTCCATATTCTCCATACTCCTGCTACACGTTTCCTTTGGTATTGACAGAGAGAATTCGTGTAACAACCAAAGCTCTAAGGTTGGCAATCATTTCCTTTACTCTTACGATGTTAAAAAATTATTATTCAGCAGTATTATTGTAAGGAGAAATTGGACGCTGGTCACTCTTAGGGTTTAAAGGTTTAAAGGAAAGTGGATTAAGAGTGTCAACTTTCGCTGCTATAGAAACCAAAACTAATTTTAAACAAAAACAGAAAAGTACCAAAGACCCTTCAAGTTAATTTTCTCTAATCATCCTCACCTTTCCTTCCTATTTCTGTCTTCTCTCCTTCTTCCTGCTCTCTTTTCCTTCTCCCCTTTTTACGTCTTTCCTTTTCTTCAAGAAGAGAACGATAAAAAGTGAAAGTTTTCTTCTCGTCTACCAAATTGTTTTCTTTTTTCTACTCATTGTTTAGCAGATAACTTAACTTGGTCCGGCTGACATCACGAATACGAAAAACTAATAAAACATGTAAAGCAAAGCAAAACGATTTGCATGTTAAACTGACACGTATGATTACTGAACTTGATATCCATCTGCTCTCGCAGCAAAAGGACTTGAAATTTGAATAGCGAATAATTTTCGTGAGGTATGTTTATTTAAGCTGAAATCAAAATAAGGGTCACAAACGATAGAAAACGAAATATGACGAGGTATTATTTTTTTGTGATGGATATTACGCAAATCGATTATTGCGACTTCCCGTCGACAGACCTTTGTTTACTTTTCTGACGATTGTCCGAGTGAGGGCATGTGCACCATAATACGCAAATACAGTACTCCATCCGTCAACTTAACTGAAGGATCGTCCTGAGCTGGACGTTAAATAACTATGAATATCCCTTGATGCCCAGTGAAAAATGTAACCACAGTCCAGAAAGCAATGCCGAATGGTTTGCAGACGATTTCCAAGAGGTTTTCTGCTTTTCTAACCGTTATTTATTTTCTTGGCGCAGCAACGCTTTCTTCAGGGAAGTATGCATCTTTGCACGGTAGACTCTTGCGATCGAAACGAGATCCACCGTCTCCATGTCATCTTCGTTGTGCCTCAGTTGTCAGCAAGGTAGGGAGATAAAAATCATTCGAAGTGCTTAAATTAAAGAATCAATATCTGGTTGAATTCTTAAGAAGACATGCTTCAATAAACGCAGCTACGAATGCTTTAATTGGGAATGTCGTGACCTATGCAAAGTGAAGAAAACTTTCGGTAACCAACGTTTTACACCTTCTGATTTCTTCATTTCCCGCATATCACGTCTAGCGAAAAACTCCTTTGTTTTACGAATTTTAAAACTGTGTTAACATTTTAAAGGATAGCCGTATGGCTTTAAACTAGATTCGATAGTTAACACCCACGTACAACCATGCGAAGGATCCGTGTTCGAACAGAAACAGGATGTAAATACGAGTACATGTAAAGCTCGCAGTAAGATGACAAGAAGGTATTTTGACGCCTTTTGACCTCGTTTCTAAGGTAAAGTTTTTATTGTTGTCTAATATTTAGTGGATTATTTTGATCGTTGAATAAGACAATGGCCTAATCGCCGAACTCTAAGTATGTGAAATTACTAAATAAGCGAAACAAATGCGTTTTGTTTGTCCACTTCTCGTAATTTTTCTTTTTCAGTGCCGACAGATGCATGTAAAACTTGTACACCCCCTTTCAGTTTCATAGCTTCTTTTCTTGTCCATCATTAGAGAGATTACCTAAGGAAAGTAAAGAGAAGTTAAAAAAAACCAGTTACAACTAGTAGCACCCCTGATGAAAGGGAACCAGTGACTGGTTTTGCTGTTATTCCTTACATTCAGGGTGTTACAGAACCCACCATGAGAATTTTGAATGGCCACAGTGTTAAAGTTGCTCAAAAACCCTTTCAGACTTTGGGGCATATTTTTGCCAAATCTAAGGATCCTGTCACGATAGAACAATGAACTGACGCCATTTATTCTATTCCTTGCAATGACTGTGACAACGTGTTTGGTACTTGCTTGAAAGAGCATCAAAAAGCGGTTTTCTTTTTCAAGATAGCATAGTCAGTTTTATCAGAGCACACATGCCTATCTGTACAATTGGGTGGGATTAGTCTAAAATTACCACCACTAATCGGCGTTACCACCAGCGCCTTTGTTTGGAAGCTTGGCATATTAACTCTGCCCATGCTCCTTTGAATTGTGATGAAGGCAGCTTACTTCCTGACGCCTATTCACACCTCATGAGAAAAAAGGCAACTAATTAGCGATCGTATAGAAGGACCTCTTGTTGCAGCATTTAGATCACCCTTGATGAAGGTACTAGAAAGGAGTGTGGAAACTTAATAAACTTAATAAGGTTCGATGTTTGAACTGGGCGTGAAGTGTGTTCTTCATCAAGTGCATCATATTCTTAGCACTCGTAGTACTTACTACACTAATGTCCTCATTTATCAATAGAATGGAAACATGACTTTTTATGGCCCATGTCAACATTTCCTTACTTTTTAGCAGCATAAAATACACTCTGTGCCATATGATTGTGTCCTGTTGTGGTTTTTAATCACTTGGTCTGCATATGAGTCATCACACATTCAGTTTATTGCACTTGCCCTTGCTTATCTTAACATTGGGCTAATAATCAGTGGCTCTGTGAAATATGAGTCCTTGCTCCTCCCAAGAAACCTATGTTAAACAGCAATTTTAATTTGGTATAGTAATAACTCATCAAAAACAGAGTTATTGCAGCATCACAGGTTGTTAGCTCAATATATACCATCATTTTTTTAACAGTTTCTTTTTCCAATCTCTTACCAATGATATACATCTATAGGAGGTAAAGATATCATGAATGAGTTGTCAAAGTCTTCACAGAAAATTATTTAAAAAAACTGACTCATGCAATATCTTCATCTATTTACAATAACTATGAGCATCATATTAAATGTCAGCCAAACTGGACTAATAAAGCAGCATTCAATGACAGGTTGACTGAACGTTGAAACCTGGGAAAAAAGAGATCTGACAAATTTGTGTTAAACATTGGGTCTGTTTAACTTTTGTTTTGCCAGGTGATTTCTTTGGAGGAATGTGTTGCAAGATGCCAGGAAAAATTACCTTCACACAGAGGTAAAATATACATGTAGATTATGTACATTTAGCTGCTTACTAATTTCAGTCAGATGTACATTATGCAGGTAAGCCTGAAATGCAAACATCTTATTAGGTGGTGCAAGATGGTGTTGTAATAAAGCATAATGTAATATGCCTGACCTACCATGTGTGATTCTACTTTGGCCAGTTGTTTGAACAGTTATGAAAGTATAATCAGGAATGGGTTTAACAATTGGTCTTGATTTTTTCTTTTCTTTTGTTGTGTTGTCATGGGCCAGGTTGTTTAAAGCTAGGCTAAGATAACCCAGGATAAATGTGAAAACTGGTATCAGATTTGAAAGTCTTTAAAGAAAATTCAGTACCAATCCTTTTATTTGGCTAAGTGTAACACAAACCTGAAGATGTTCTGAACAAGCCACCCATGGTTAAAAGTAGGTAAGAGTGGATACACAAGGATAGGCAAAGATGCTTTTACAAAACAATTTATTTACAAGAGTCTTTCGGCCCTACATCATGAAATAATAATTTTCAGTTTGGTGCATTCCCAGAAATGTTATTGGGTCAAATAGGTAATCTGAGTAGATTTCACATTTCCCATGGGAGTCACCTGATAATTATAGACATCAAGCAATATTGACAGTTGTCATCTTTTTAATGGTTTATTTAGTACATGTACTAGGTATCTGTAGGTTCAGTGTAGAAATTCAAAAATGAATGGGCAAACAAATTCAATTTAACACTGGGATCCTTTTGTAGTCCTTAAACAAACTTCATATGAGTAAGGGCAGTTTGGAGTTTTATAGTTTTGATGTGCTCTTTGGAAAAGTTTCAAGTTTCATTTCAAAAGTTACATTTCTGTTTGTAACCTTGAAGTGTCCCAGTAGTAGGTAACATCCTTTGTTGTGGGTGTCTACAAATTAATTAAAATCTATTTCCACCCAATGTGTCTCTATTAAATTCAATTTTAGACACAATGCACAAAAATAGGAAAAAAAGAGATAGTTCTTCCATCAGGCAACAGAGAAGTGCAGAGTACCAAAATGGTAAGTTGAAGTAAAAAAGCAAGGATCCAACATTTAGAATGTACATGTAGTAGGATGTTTATAGTGTTTTCAAGACCATATCTGGTGTGCCATAAGATGAAAGGTGGAAATGCAACACCTAAAGACTACAATAAATCAGTGCACATTCTGCAAATAATTTGAACCAGCCAGTTAGCAGAAAATTGGTACATACCTTAGTAAGTCTGATTTAAGCTTTAACTTATGAAAAAGAAAGGAAAAACAGAATTTGATGAGAAGGGAGGGATTAACATCACTATAGCACATTAACTATTGACAAAATTATAATACAGTAACTTATAAAAGAGGTTTATGAAAGTTCTTTTGGATAAGCAAATTTTCCACTATATGTAACAGAAGTGCCTCCCTAAATCATGTTAAAATGGAAACTGATTTGTGGAAACATTTTTACTTCTTAAGGTACACATATTAAATAACTGTTTGTGTTGATATTTAGAAAATATGTATATTTCTTTTGGAAATTTATCAACAGAGTGCATGACCTCTGCTGTACAGTCAAGAAACAAACCACTTCCTGTTAAGATACGTTCAGTAGAATTCAAAGAAAAGGATATTGATGTTGTGTGGGAGAAAAAGAATTCTTTCAAAACAGGTAGTGAAATGGTTCTGCCATGCTTCAGTAGTTGCTAGTAATTAATCAGAAAGAAGATGTTGAATGAAGATCTTGAGGAAACACCAATTGGAAAAGATTGCTGTATTAAGATTACTTATAAATTACCCCTAATTGTACAATGAGGAACAACAAATAATTCCCACCTTGATTTATTGTATGTGGTGTTGAAGTTTGAGGTTCAGTACTTTGGTAACATTAGACACATTTTAGTTGAATAAACACTTCTTAATTTCAGATCTCTTTGCTCAGACTAAAGAAAATTAAATCATTGTTTTCTTGACAGATTATAACTGGTCAGCTTATGCATTTATCTACAAAGTTCGTTGTGATAGATGTAGTGATGACAAAACAGCCAAGTGCAAAATTATTCCAAAGGTCAGGTTTCCAAATTTATTGTTTTTTTCCAAAAGGGGAAAATTTTAGATTCTGACTACACTATCACGAAACATTCAATGTGAAATAGTTTATTGAGGAATGGTCAGTCAGTCATCCGACAACAACACTGTGACGTAATTACAACATAGAATATGCTAGCAAGTCTAACTTGAAAAGCTTGAAAAATTAAGTGTACCACGCCAGATACGAAAAACCACTAAAAAACCACTCTTAGATGTGGCCAAAAATTATGTGGAAACGTATTCCCCATCTAATGCAGTGGCACGGAACCTCGGGGAAGAGGTACAAACAAACCCATACTCCATAGAAAAAATTTAACTAAATTGTTGACAGCAAACAGGAAGACTGACTGAGCTAGAATGATTAATATTCCCCGCTAAAGCATTAAATACTCAAAACTCTCCCCTGAGAATGCTAAAACCTCTCAATCGTGCCATCAGAATAGTAATTTCTGACTAATTCGTTCCTAGTCACTCAACCGTCAGAAATTACATTTTCTTTAGACACAGGCTTCATATTGCAAGATAATGTTAAATTAATCATGAGTATACAACATGGTTATGGTTTTAACATGACCCCATCAATTTGAGAAGACAGTGCCTGAGTGGTAAACAACAACTTTAATTCAATGGTGTGTAATAGGGTAATCATTAATGTCATCATAGTCATTTGCATCTTGATCAAAAATGTTTTTTCCATGGTGATTATCATAACAATTTAGGAAAATAAACATGTTGATTGATAATTCATGTAGTTGCTTTTTACAGGTTTCGATCGGGGTAGAAAGGAACTCATCATAATTTGGCCATAGGGTGGACTATGTATAGTATAGTTTATTTTTAATCCCCCTGTATCATATCTTAATATACTGGACCTTAGCAGGTCTTATTATTGATATATGTTTTGCATGATCTGAAAACCTTAGAACCAAACAGATTATTCAGTGCCACTGGCTCAATGGGAAAAGCCTGATTATCTTTTTGCTGCTGTATGTATGACCTAAATCAATTAGCAATTTGTATTATTATTTAATTTGTGACATTATCATTAAGAATGATATGAGGAGCAAAGCTGATGTTTAACTTTTCCAAATAAAAAGGTACATGTAATATGGTTTGGTCTTTTTCAAACACCCAGCAGTACCTTTCTGTTGTAAGGCTATCCCTTGAGGTTGTTTTCACTTGGTTTTTGAGAGATAACTTATGCTCACAATCTCTGTCTTCCTATATATACACTTTGAAGAAATATATTTAAGGTATTCCCATATTCTGGCTGAAGAAATTTAAAGGGATCTTAAACAAAGCCACATGATTTCACGTTTTTTTATTTTCATGTGCACTCTCCATTAGCATCAGAGCTTCTTCACCTCGTCAGATTTTCTGTTTTTAGGAATATGCATGGTGTTATTTGCTCAAAATGACCATGAAATGTATGGGTGGATGGGAAGTTTAAAAGGACCCACCCAGTCATTGTTCCTCAGTCATTGATTCTAAAATTTTGTTACATTGGTAATGCTGTTGCTACTGATAATACCAGTAATTTTGTTTTACTTGGGTTTTCTTTTCATTTGCCATTGTTAACAAAACCAAATAACATTTTAGTATGATGATGAAAATGAGTGATAAGAGAAGCGAAATTGCTAGCTCATTTTTGTTTGCTGTCTTTAGGTTGTGACCTTCCCGTTTTCCAAAAAAGCTTCTGTATCTCTGGAAACATTTTCTCCATATGGTGAGAATCTATTTTTTTGCTTATCAGCTTGGAAGTCTTGAAGCACAATATGTCAATTTTTAAAAAGTGAATAAGGTTAAAAAACAATTAGTGAATAGAAGAAGTGCATTGTACCTCTTTTTGTTTTCATTTCTTTTTATTAGCATGAAATTGTGCATGCATCTTGATAGCTTTGTTTTTGCCATGATTATGATGAATGCCAGCTTAGGTAAATTTAGACAACCTAGCAAATTCTAACTGGATAAGTATATATGTAAATATATGGCTTTTCAAGCAGAACTTTGTATTCCTACCCTTAATATTGAATCTTTCTGGTGTATTTACAGCCCCTCCACACAAAATTCCTATGCCTACTGAAGCTAAAAAAGGTAAGCCATGCTGATATTTTAGATCCAAATCTGTTACAAGCACATTATTCTTGTAAACCTCTGGACCCCATAAGTAATGAACATGTGACCCCTAGGTCTCCCTTTTCAAATTTCAGCATGCTCATAATTAGCTGAATTTGGCAGAATATCTTCAATTTGCACTTAATTTCATGGTTTTTATGAGACACCTAACTTTTCTTGTGTGGTTTGTTGTTACAGACACAGTTAAACTTGTAAGCTCTATAGTAGGAGGAATAGCAGCAGGAGTGGTTATGCTTTTGCTGTTGTTTGCTCTAGTCAAGAAAAGGCCATGCCGAGGTAATTGCTGAACTTCTTATGATGTAATTGGTATACGAAGTCACATATATTCAGATTAATTCTTCTAGTGTCACTCACTCACTTACACAATCTTCCCCCAGACACAGTTAGTGTTGTTCATAAATATTAATATATTTAATAAATATATTCAATAAATATTATTAGTTGAATGTAAGTAATGAGTTTGAGTATGGCAGAGCAAAATTTTCTTCCTTACATAGGCCTCATGCCTTATAGTGCATAACGTTTACAGTTACCAGTTCATATTTACTTTATATAGGTACGCAGGAATTATTGTTGGTGTAGATAAGATAATTAGCAGAGCGGTTATTTCCATTTCATTGTCTTAGTTTATTTTGTTACTATTTACACTAACGCTTAACTTAGTATCAACATTGTCTCATGACCATTTCAAAATTTCAACATCAATTTTGAGTAATGATAACAATATTTCTGTTGATAGCCAATTCAGGACTTCAATACTCTCATTGTTACAATGGGCTGGTTTACTTTGTATCATCAACGTATTGACCTGTTGTTATAAACATGTTTTGATGGTTATGATCTCTGAGCCTGTTGTTATTATTATTACTCTATATTTGAACTTCTCACTAACATCATCATTCTCATTATTATTATTATTATTATTATTATTATTATTATTAACCATCTCTATCATTTATTTTTGGTCAAATTTTGATTTAGTGTTTCTCCTGATTTTTAAAGGAAGCACCCCTCGTATGCCTCCACCAGCGCCCCCGAGACCAGAAGAGAAAAAAGACGAAAAAGGTGGGCTTATCGGATATTTCGTAGTGGATATTCTTCCTAACTATATTTGATTAAGATTATTGTTATAATGATGTAGGTTTATAGGTCGATAATACACGTGCATTTGTAAACAATGAATTACTGGGATTCCGGAAGCGTTTGTTTGACCCTATAACGTAGAAGGTTCCAAGATGGCGGTTAGGAAGCAAATATTACAACATCACTAACATCTCTCCTCTTTTTTTCTATTTTTTTCCTTAATCTTTGGTGCTTGTTCATCGTGTGTTTCAACAAGTCTTATATGCAAAACGTATTTTCGTGCGAGCGACTGCAGCTTTTCCCAATGGATAATCCCTTACTTAAGAAAGATAAGCTTACGCAGTTGAGATGATAAATCGTACAAACGCTGGTTCTCTGATTTTACACTGAGTTACTTATTCCAAAACGTAACAACCATCCTGTCTTTCACCTACAGCTGTAAGTTGAAGCTCTATCATACTCTGAGGCCATTACCTGATAAAACCTTAGATCTACCCGCGAAAGAATCTGGAAAGTCCTCCATGAAGACTGTGCACGACAAAAGACACACATGGCCATAATTTACGATTTCTTCCCAGCAAATTCTTCATTGTGAAAAGAATTTTCATCTTTTTCGCTTCCTTTCCTTTGTACTGCCAAAAGAAATAACCTTGTTAAGAAAATAATATGCATATCGTCGTCTAAAACCACAAAAGGCTAAGATACACGATGACCTGATGACCAGTAGCTTCGTATGTGCGCTTCGGTGGTGCGCGAAATGGCAGCCGCGGCATGTATTTCCCGCGCTTTTTTGTCCACGAACTGATCACCTGAACTCAGAGTGTTACAATGTTTCCTCAACCTTCAGTTTACTAGGAATGGCGATATTTGGGCTACCGCAGCCAGTCTTGAAAGCTTCTCACGTGTGAAATATATCATATTTTAGACTTAGGCCACACGAAATGCAAGGAATGTAAGGGATTCTTTTGCCGCTCCCTGAGGATTTCTTTAAAGTCTAAAACATGTATCAGGATGGTGAAAAAGATTAAGTAGGAAATGTTACCAATTATGTTCTCCCTTTTTTATATATTTTTTTTTTTAACAGAGCTATACTACACCTGTTATTATCCAGAGAGTGACGCTTTTCGAAACGAAGTGGCCTCAATTGTGAACTACTTTCGCCAGAACGGTTATAATGTCATCATGGACGTTATGGTGTCTACAGAAATAACTTCCCAGGGTCCTACGCGTTGGGGAGAAAGCCAAATTAGAAAAGCTAAGAAGGTGCTGGTTTTCTTGTCACCTGGTTTGATAAACCTCGCTCTGGATGGGTGTGATGGCTTCCAGTCTCAGGTAAATACATGGTACTTCTCCTTTTGGGATGCTCGTTTGTTCTCGGCCATCTTCAGTTTTCCTTTTTCGCTCAGTGATTCCTTCTCCGTTGATTTTAGGACGGGAGTTCGTTATCTTAGTTTCCTTGGATGATTGAAAACTTAGGCGAAAGGACGAAAGGAGCGGGGGGGTTAAAATTCATGAGGCCATATTAACTTTTCTGGGGCGATTAGGCGTCGTAAATTTCTCCTCTAATCAAATCTCCACATTGGTGTGCAAATTCAAATTGTAATATTTCAGTATGTTTCAACACGTGGGTGGGAAAACGAACTTAATTTACCCCACTTCCGTTACCTTCGTATAGGGCTCTATGGTGCATCACGGTGTACTTTTACAATGTTGAAAAGCTGTTTAATTTATTAACAAAATAAAAACCTGGCTTCACGGAGGTACATTTTGGTAAGATTTACGTATGAGAGACTAATGATACATTAAGAATAATACATGAGCGCGCGTAGATGTGGAATTTCACTTCAAGTGTTCAACTCGATAGCTCACGAGAGAGCGTGGCGAACGAGTGAGATGTCGAGTTGAACGCGAGAGGAGAAATTCCATATCTACAAGCAACCATGTATTATTTTGTTTATCATATAAACACAATAGCCCTTTGGTTACAAGAAAAGCCGACTTCATCAATGAGTGAACATAAAAGAATCGAAATCGTACGGTGCGTTAGCGCTAAGGCCCAAGATGGAAAAATGCGTTGAGTCATGATTACAAAAACAACAATGGGCGTAATTTTCAATTTACAAAATTCTCCTATATTGAATAATAATACCAATAACAGCACGCGTTATATTCTAACTTTATTATAATTTCGTGTATTGGTTTTCTTCCCCTTCTGGGAAAGTTTGAGCGTCACTGTCTGTGAGCGATACGGATTTTTTAGTTTTTTAGCCGCCATAATCCGAGAAACTTCTGACAAACTACCTTGGATTGAAAATCGTGAGGGCTTTACCGTTCATTCATCAACCGAGGCCGAGTGGCTCAAAGGCGAGTGACGTAGCAGCAGCTGATTGGCGATGTCAAACACATCATATTAACACATAAACTGCGGTGTTATACAGAGATTTCCGGCCTAGAGAAAAGCCGTAACAACATACGTGGAAAAATATAGTATTTTTTCACGTGTGTTGATATAGCCAATCATCTGCTGACACGTCACTCGCCTTTGGTGCCACTCGGTCAGGTTGATGAATGAACGGCAAAGCCTTCACGACTCTCAATACAAGCTTCCTCGAATTATGGCGGCTAAAACACTAAAAAATCCGTATTTCTGACAGACAGACTTTTCCTTTAGTTGGTTCTGTAGGTTAGGCATTGCACTGAGTCCCAGTCAGTAGTGTGGTTCGGTAAGAGTCGTGACATACAGTTTACTAGACAGGTCGAAGAAAATGGTAATCTACCGTTCTAGATTGCCTAGTAAGCCGTGACGACAACTCACTACGTACAAACACTACCTTGTCTTTTCAGGACACCAACCGCGTTTGGATTGAGCTGGAAGTACTCCGAGACCTATACACACATAATCGCTCAGCTTCGAAGATGGTTTGTATAACCCCACCCGACATGCCCTTGACTTCAGGACCACTTCCACTCTGGGCCAAAGTTAGCTACAAGTGGCCCGATGATGCTTTGGAAATCTTAAAGCGTCTTAACGACAGACCAAAGATATTAGCAATATAGAAAATGCCTGAAATCTTGCAAGCTTAGATCTGTGGCAAAATTATTGGAGTGTATGACCTTTTCCGCAGCCTAATTGCTTTTCCCCTTCCACTTTCACTTTCCTTAACCCCCCACCTCCAACACAAGAATGAGTCCTCACTAGGTTGCCATTAGAGGACCTTTGTTGCTGAACAAAGAATATTTAAAAGGTATCTCCTGCGGCCTAAATCCTTAAATTCCCAGAGTTGACCAACGAGTGACTCTTCCTTACCTGCAATACGTTATCTTGAAACAGTGTTATGAGAACAAACAAGCTTATCAGTAGGGGGGTGCTATCTTGCTGTAAAACCAAATTCTTGTGTCGAGTTTTTAAGAAAACTTGTGTCAGGCATTAGGGAGAATTACTGTTTGGATCTTGGGAGTGAAAGGGTTAAATAGCCTAAGGAGTGACCTATAAAAAGCCATTGATTTAACTATTTTTGTATTATCGTCTCCTGCCTGACCTTAAAGAATCTCTGTAAAGTTTACCTTACCGGAAGTTAAGTAGTTAGTTTAGCCGTGAGATACTTCAGCTGGTACAGCTCGTGTGTTGCATTTAGAAGAAAAGAAGGCAAATCATATATTCCGTGATGGTACAAAGGATAAGGAAACATACTTACTGCAGCTAATGGTTTGATAAAAAAGATTAAGCGTTTTAAATTCCAGGATTTAAAATATTTATCTCTTATTAGCTTATTTATATTATATTTAATGGTGGTCTCATTTAGATGTAGTTTATTTTTTATCCTCGGCTAATATGCAAGCCTTGAAATATTCTAAATCTGGTAGAAATCAGAGTGGAATGGTTACCAGTGCCCCGGAAATCATAACCTGCGAGCATACCCTATCTATCAGCACCTCGGGAAAGAGAAGTCTGCAAAGGGTCTTGTACTGATAATTGCTAGTGCTAGATCCCTGCAGCGCAAGTCTGCAAGGAGTCTTGTACTGATAATTGTTAGTGCCAGACCCCCGGAAAACCCCTCCCAGTAGCGCACCCTGCAGCGCTGATTATAAGGGCTTGCTCACAGCCGGATATGGAAATCACGTTAGTGGGTATGTGAAATGTTAATAACGGGATGAAAATCATAACACAACGTTTAGGTGAGAGGAAAAAAGGAAAACGTAAAATTAAAGGATAACAGCGAGCGAGTGACATGATTTTCATGCTATTGAAAAATAACGCACATTACCATAGGAAATAATGTTTGGTACAATTTGAAGCTTGCGTTAAGGATGTAAATTAGTCAGATTAAGAATTATATATTAGTAATAATAATAGATCACAGCATATATGATTTACAAGATATTTGTATTTCGGACGGGAGGCATGAGCAAGTCGATATGATTTTGTGGAAAGAATCAGGCGTTCTTTGATCGTTTTTTATTTTATTTTTGTCATTTTTCTTTTTCTCTTTTATTCCTCTGCGCTTATCATTGACATGCGAACAGTTAGGTTTTGGTTCATAGTTGCGATTCCGTTTCATTCAGCCTTCATTCATGATCAAATCAGAATTGTAGAAGCAGATTAACTCGCATTTCATTTTAAAGATGCGTCTGAAAATAGTCAGATTATGTACTGTATGTAAAAGCGCAGACAGGAACCATTGCTTTTTTATCAGTAAGTTGATATTTCTATCATGTCAATGACTATTAAGTAACAGGACTTTTTGGAATAAAAATTTCATCAACAATGAAGCTGTATTAGGTTGGCCACTAGTATTTAACCTTTTTCTATATCCTTTTAGGAGGGGTGTGGTTGAAGCATGAAACGACGTTTTGAGGCGAGTTGCTTTTTGTTGAACCTCTCCCCCCCCTCCCCCCCCCCACCTTCTGCCCCGTTGTTGGAAGATCAATTAAAGGAAAAACCTTTACAACTTTTGAAGTTGACCCCTGATGAACCAAGGATGTTACATGATGTCAGATGGACCCAGATGATGACAAGACAGATAGAAATGCCAAAAAATGTCGAAAGAGGAGAGGAAGTATGAAGTTTGTTCGTGTTTTTTAACAGCGTTCCTAAGCGTTTTGACAAGGATTGTGGCCGTCTTAATCCTTTACACCATAAAATCAGTGTCCATGTTTTTCATACTCTTGCTACACGTTTCCTTTGGTATTGACAGAGAGAATTCGTGTAATAACCAAAGCTTCTAAAGTTGGAAATCATTTCCTTTACTCTTACGATGTTACAAAATTATTCAGCAGTATTATTGTAAGGAGAAATTGGACGCTGGTCACTCTTAGGGTTTAAAGGTTTAAAGGAAACGTAAATAAGTATAACAAAGTGCATTAAGAGTGTTAACTTTCGCTGCTATAGAAACCAAAACTAATTTTAAACAGACACAGAAAAGTACCAAAGACGCTTCAAGTTAATTTTCTCTAATCATCCTCACCTTTCCTTCCTATTTCTGTCTTCTCTCCTTCTTCCTGCTCTCTTTTCCTTCTCCCCTTTTTACGTCTTTCCTTTTCTTCAAGAAGAGAACGATAAAAAAGTGAAAGTTTTCTCATCTGCCAAATTATTTTCCTTTTTTTACCTATATTTTAGCAGATAACTTAACTTGGTCCGGCTGACGTCATGAATATGTATACATAATAAAACACGTAAAGCAGAGCAAAAAAATTTGCATGTTAAACTGACACGTTTGATTACTGAACTTGATGTCCACCTGCTCTCGCAGCAAAAGGACTTGAAATTTTAATATTGCTTTGGTTCTTCTCTAGCGATTAATTTTCATGAGGCATGTTCATCCTGAAATCAAAATAAGGGTCACAAACGATCGAAAACGAAATATGATGAAGCTTTTTTCTTAAATGGATATTACGCAAGTCGATTATTGCGACTTCCTGTCTACGGACCTTTGTTTATTTCTGATGATTGTCCGAGTGAGAGCATGTGCACCATAATACACAAATACAGTACTCCATCCGTCAACTTAACTGAAGGATCGTCCTGAGCTGGACGTTAAATCACTACGAATATCCCTTGATGCCCAGTGAAAATGTAACCACAGTCCAGAGAGCAATGTCGAATGGTTTGCAGACGATTGCCAAAAGGTTTTCTGCTTTTCTAACCGTCATTTATTTTCTTGACGCAGCAACGCTTTCTTCAGGGAAGTATGCATCTTTGCACGGCAGACTCTCGCAATCGAAACGAGATCCACCGTCTCCATGTCATCTTCGTTGTGTCTCAGATGTCAGCAAGGTAGGGAGATAAAAATCATTCGAAGTGCTTGAATTATAGAATCAATATCTGGTTGAATTCTTAAGAAGACATGCTTCAATAAAACGCAGTTACGAATGCTTTAATTGGAAATGTCGTGACTTATGCAAAATGATGAAAACTTTCGGTTACCAACGTTTCACACCATCGGATTTCTTCACTTCCCGGATAACAAGTCGAGCGAAAAACTCCATTGTTTTACGAATTTTAATTACTAAACAAGTTATTATTAGTAGTTATTAAGTTATTACTAAATTAGTTATTATTAGTATCAATTGTTATGACATTTCGTATCAGTGTTGGTTTGCATCAGAAGAAGCAAATATTTATTGTAACAATTTCAATAGTTCAAATGCAGTTGTTAAATGGCATCTAAATCTTGCGTATAGTATACGACTCGCTATAATAAATGCGGCAGAATTGGGAGGAAATGGCCGGTTTTTTTTTTTTACCTTTATTAAGGAATGTTGTCTTGTGATTGAAAAGAACGTCGACAAAAAGCTTGCAAATAGAATTAGTCACCAAATACGATACAAACAATGCTTAAAAGGAAAGTTTGGTAAGGGGGTCCAAATCTGTGAAGGGGGGTCCATATCCGCTGTGACACCGGTTCGAACATCGAACTTTACTAGTGCCGCAACGTTTGAAACAATTAGGTTCGACAGATTTGTTTGGGTCCACCTACCGTTCTATTCAACGGGGCTTGTCGAATAGATCGGCAAAAGATCAACTTCATTCCATACATTAAACCGTTTCATGTGCCGAATATAATGCATTTATTACAAATACATTAAATAAATAAATTTTAACCCAGAGTCCTGCATGTTTCGTTTATTTGTCATGCGCACACAACTTGGTTTGCGACAAAATGGTAGGGAGAGCGGAAAATATGTGTTCCTCTTGCACCGTGAGCTCGAAATATACATGCCTGAGGTGCGTGAACTACTTCTGTATGCCACCAGCCAGTAGTTCTTTGTAGCCGATGACAAGTACGAACTGAACGAGGAACGGTGGTGTTCCTTTGGGAAATGAGTAATATAAGAAGGCAAGCTAAATTCAAAACTCGTTTCCTCCTGGCAGCGAGGTCGTTTAATTCTAAATACATCTTGAGTCGCCCTCTTCTATCCTCCTTCATCGCATTTGCAAGAACCTCTTCACTTCCACAATGTCTTTCCCGCATTTTTCCGCCATATGGGTAAGCAATAACCGCTGACTGCAATATAGTCATATTCATTTTTTCAATTAAGTTCAAGTTAACTAGGTTCGACATTTAAATCAACTGTCGAATGTTGTTATTTAGGTCGATCCAAATTGGTATTCAGTTCAGCACATGTAAAGTTTGACGTTTGAAACGGGCCTGAAATGTGTTTTTCATCAGCTGCATTGTATTCGTATTACTTGTAGTAGTTACTACATTAATGTCCTCATTAATGGATAGGATGGAAACATGACTTTTTTTGGCCCGTGTCAATGTTTCCTAATTTTTAGCCGGCATAAATGCATTCTGTGCTATACTATTGTGCTCTGTCGCAGTTTCTAATCACTATTGGTTTGCATACGAGTCATCACCCTTTCAGTTTATTGTGCCTGCCCTTGCAACATGTCTTATCTTAACAATTTGCTGATAATCAATGGCTCTGTGAAATGAGTCCTTGCTCCTCCTAAGAAAACTATGTCAAAGAGCAATATTAACATGGTATAGAAATAAATCATTTAAGGCAAAGTTATCACAGCATCACAGGTTGTTAACTCAATATTAAATGGGACTTCCTATAAGTTATGTTCGTGTTGATTACCCATGTTGCTGTTGAAATGATTATGATGATGATGATGATGATGATTATCATTATTATTATTATTATTATTTCCATTGTCATCATCACAATTATGATAATCATACATGAAGTTATATGATGCATACCATCAGTTTTTTTAACAGTTTCCTTTTCCAATCTCTTACCAATGATAAACACCTATAGGAGGTAAAGGTATCATGAATGAGTTGTCAAAGTCTTCACAGAAACTAATTTTAATAGACTGACTCTTGCAATATCTTCCTCTATTTACAATAACTATGAGCATCACAGTAAATGTCAGCCAAACCGGACTAATAAATCAGCATTCAGTGACAGGTTGACTGTTACTTGAAACCTGAAAAATAAGATCTAACAAATTCTTTGTAAAATATTGGGTCTGTTTAACTTTTGTTTATGTTAGGTGATTTCTTTTGAGGAATGTGTCACAAGTTGCCAAGAAAAATTGTCTTCACACAGAGGTAAAATATACATGTAGATTATGCTCATTAAGTTGCTTACTAATTTCAGTCAGATGTACATTATGCGAGTAAGCCTGAAATGCAAACATCTTATTAAGTGGTGCAAGATGGTGTTGTGATAAAGCATTATGTAGTATGCCTGATCGCATGACCTACCATGTGTGATGCTACTTTGGCCAGTTGTTTGAAAGGATGTGAAAATATAACCAGGGATAGGTTTAACAATTGGTCTTGATTTTTCCTTTTCTTTTGTTGTGTTGTCATGGGCCTGGTTGCTCAAAGCTAGGTTAAGATAACTCAGGATGAATGTGAAATCTGATATCAGATTTGCATCATTCCTTTTATTTGGCTGAGTGTAACACAAACCTGAAGATAACAAAATCTTCAAAGAATGGTAAACCTCACTAAAATGTTACAAAATTACATTAGAATTTTGCATCAATCATGGGTTATCTGAGTTGTGTTTTGAACAAGTCACCCATGGTTAAAAGTAGGTAAGAGTGGATACACAAGGATAGGCAAAGATGCTTTTAAAAACAATTTGTTTACAAGAGTCTTTCAGCCCTTGATCATGAAATAATAATTTTCAATTTCCTGCATTGCCAGAACTGTTATCGTGTCAAATAGGTAATCTGAGTAGATTTCACATTTCCCATGGGAGTCACCTGATAATTATAGACATCGGGCAACATTGACAGTTGTCATATTTTAATGTTTTGTCTACATGTACTAGAAATCTGTCAGTTCAGTGTAAAAATTCAAAACTAAACTGGCAAAACAAATTCAATTTAACACTGGGATCCTTTTATAGTCCTTTATAAAACAAACTTCATATGAGTAAGGGCAGTTTGGAGTTTTACAGTTTTGATGTGCTCATTGGAAAAGTTTCATTTCATAAGTTACATTTCTGTTTGTAACCTTGAAGTTTCACAGTAGTAGGTACCTTCCTTTGTTGTGGGTGTCCACAAATTAATTAAAATCTATTTCCACCCAATGTGTCTCTATTAAATTCAATTTTAGACACAATGCACAAAAATAGGAAAAAAAGAGATAGTTCTTCCATCAGGCAACAGAGAAGTGCAGAGTACCAAAATGGTAAGTTGAAATAAAAAAGCAAGGATCCAACATTCAGAATGTACATATAATATTTAAAGTGTTTTCAGGACTAGTCTATCATTAGCATATCTGGTGTGTCATAAGATGAAAGGT